ACTTGGGTTTGAGCTTTTCAGAGGGCCAGGCTCATCGTGTTGACTGAAACAACGGAGAGCCGGCATGGCAAGCTTCTAATAACTTTATTCATGACCTCTTAACGACTGGCTTTTGCTTCAAGACTTGATGAAATGTAGCTTAATTAAGGCCACGGCGTATAGGAGGACATTTTAACGTTAAAGACTCTGTCTCTAGCGAATCTGATGGACACGCATCAGATCTTGGGCTTGCTTTCGCGTATGAATTTCTATTAACAAGTTTTGACTGTTGATTAAATTGCGAAATGCTGAGGTTGCTAGTGTCACCTCGACTTTCTTCCCTTACTATCTATGTTCAAGAGGTTTCTAGCCCACCCACTATAGCGGTTTCATTAGTTTCTTTGTCACTTACAAAAAGTCAATTTACCCGAATTCTTCTTGCTTCGCCAACCAGTCTTGTCCCACTTCACGTTGAATCGCCAGCAATCATCCAACTGCACCTCCTCAAGCTGCTTCAGTCGTTGGCTAGAAAGAACACCTTGGACACTTTTCTGCACCCAGTCATTCTCATCATACACGCTATAGAAACGCAAGGTCTCTACAGAGTCCGGCAGAAGGCTTTCCAGACTATCCTCCGAAATCGGGTTTTCGTCCGCAGTCTCTTCTTCCTCATCACTGTCACCGACGTTAGACAGACTGGGAAGAAGATCATGCTCTTTTCCGAGCATGATAGGTTGAGGAACCGACAGGTGCTTCAGGTGCTGTAAGCCCCGTATGTCACCAATCTTGCCGCTCCATTCTGCCTCCTCGAACGAGAAGCATTCCAAGCAGTCCAAATCCAATTCTACCAGGCCTGTGCCGTGTTCGCGGAGAACCCTGCCGATATGATCAAAGTCGAGCGTGCTGTCTCCAACTGTGGATGATCCCCAGGTGATTTCCAACGTCTGTAGCGAGGGGCATGTGCGTAGGAGGTCGCAGATACCGTCGGCGTCGGCGAGAGAATCTATGAAGTGTGCGTACCTCAGAGAGCTCAGTCTTCGTGGTGTCTGGGCACTTGCTGCAAGCCTGGTATTGAGTTCCACGGCCCAGCCGCGAAACGTTTGAAGCTGTGGCAGGAGGAACAAGTCTTGGTAGTTTACCAAACGGACGGCTAACTCAGTGTCTTGATTTCTGATGCGGAACTCTTCAAGTTTTGTCAGGGGTAGAGACGACTGCGACGTTGTAGCTGAAGTCGTATCTTGCTGAGTCTGTGATGCCGACGGAGTTTCCTGACCTATTGTATCTGGACCTTGGCCTTCCACAACGGGTCCATTGACCCCTTGATTAGCTGCTCGTGAGATTATCTCCGGGAATAGCGTGTCGAAGCTTCGAGTCGCGTATTCTATCGACTTCAAGTTGGGCAGAATGGTGGCACAGTGGGCGAACCAAAGATCAGGCACGCCATCCTGCCACTCCTCGCCATGGGCCACAACTCTGAGCGCCGCATCAATAGCGGCAGACCTCGCATCGGACTGCGCGGATGCCTCCGAGTAATACGGCAAAAGGAGTGGCGTGATGTCGTCGCGGCTGAAGACGCCCTCGCCTAGGGTGACGTTCTCTACGCTCCGCGCGAGGTGTGGGTTTTCATGAAGTGTGCGCAAGAGACGTTCATGAAGCCTCCAATTGCATAAGGGCAGACTGCGATACAAACATGGTCGAGCAAGCCGCAGAAATCGAGATGAGGTGCGGCATAGCCGTGACAGTGCTGCAAGGCCCTCTGATCCTGGTTCGTTGTCATCTGTATAATCAGGTCCCCGAATGTCAAACTCGAGCTGACCGAAGATGAGCGTCCAAACTTCGTCGGGAAAATGCACCATGTTGACGTCGTGTAATTGTTGTATTGCTGGAGGATGTTAAAAGAAAGTGATTCTTCATGCCAAAGTGTCGACACAAAGGGGGAAGTCGTCAGTATGTCGATCGCCAAGGATTCTAGGCTGCAGCCCGTCTGTACGTACCAAAATGCGCCACGACCTAGTCAAACAGTGGCTGCAACGCCCTACGCAAGATCACAGCTTAGGTATGTAACAGGGCATCCGTAATAACTTTGATGAAGGAACTCTCGAAACTCATCGTTCCTTCAGCGTTCCTTTCGGGCCTTCGAGTATGCAACACTAATGACATTGCATCTCGTATGGGCCCAACACCAGACGCTCATCTTATTCTCGCGAGTCTGTTTGCTGCGAAAGTTTATCAATGACGACAATACGACACGCTAAAATTGCATAAACCCTTGCCATGGTTCACCGGGGTTTAGCAATATGAACGGTCATGATGAAAGCCATGAAGACGACGAGCTCAGTCTCAAGTCAAGACGATGAGGTCTGTCAGAGTAACACACAAATCCGAGACTCAGCCGGACGACCCCGATGGAAAAATGAAAGATCCGAAGAGCAGCTTGCATACGTTGTTGTGCTGCTTGTTAGTTGGTGCTTCATGAGCCGCTGGGGTGGATAAATGTCGTCAGAAACATCTCCAGGGCTGAACCCAGCGGTCGAGGAAACACGGAACACCAGGCCGAGTACCCGCCACATCGACCTTCAGGCGAGTGAGGGAAGCGCGGTTGGCCGCACCAACTGGCGAATGACTTCCGCTCTTTGGTTTAGAGACGGTGACATGCGGGCCGAATCGGTGGCTCTGGGCTCACTGCGACTCGACTCCAAGGAGCCTAGAGCGGTGGAGCGAACATGGGGTGGCAGGGGACTTTGGCAGCTTGCATCTCTGCTGAACAGCCTGTTGGTGCAGGCTGCAGGGTCCTTTTCTCATTCAATTTTACCCTCGTCACTCTGCTGCTTCTTCTGTTTTTTCGCTAGGTTCCTCCCGACTGCCTAACTCATCTTTTCTTTTCACTCCGCGATGCTCCGGAGGAAGTTGAGAATCGGAAGAGTTGATTATGTAGCTGACATGAGTACAGGGATGTTGCGGTGATTTTCTGACTCTCACCTCGTCCGATGAGGCCTTCGACACCCCTGTCGCGATGGCCTTGGCGGGTGTCCGGACGATTGGCCGACGATAACGCACATTTTCCAACCGGAAACGCAGCGCGACGCCCACATCTCTGAGGGGCTTCCGCCAACCGTCGCCGTCTCAATTCTCATCGTCGGAGCCCCAATCGTGTGCTCCCCCACCGCTCGCCGTTTCGTAAACTGAAAATAAACAGAAGGATTCGACAACAGCCAGTAACTAGGTTTCCGTATATGCCTTTCGACGGTATTCCAACACTTAGCCCACAGCGATGACGTGCGCTCCGCCGCTTGTCTCTCGTGTCTCCCTCTTATCTTTTACGATCCGAGGAGGGGGCGGGGGGCTCAGGATCTAGTGGTCTACAAGGCTGGTGCTGCGCTGCGGTCTTCGAGTCTGCACGATTCTCTCAGTCAGCCCTTCGCCGGTCTGGTTGGTCCGCTCTACGAGCGCGCGGCGAAAACGGCAAATCGACTCAAGGGTAAGAAGAGAGCCAAGTCTTCAGGATCAAAGGCAACAAGCGACAAGCAAGTCCTTTCGCCGGGGACTTGCCCCATCGTGCTGTATGCTGCCTGAAAACAGTGGGCAGAAGAAACCCATTACAACCCCTGTTGATAGCAAAAGCCCTTGCTCTGCTCCGAGGGCGCACGGCTGTTTCTCACTGAGTCGCCTAGGAAGGACCAGAAAGGGTATTATTGCTTATTTCTCATCTCTGATCGCAGGCTGGCAAACGGGTACCTTGCTGCCGGTGCAGTCACAAGCGAGCTGTCTTTTTGGTGATGGTGGCTGTCAGCTCGGCCGATTCCGCACGTGTAGGCAGTCGAGCAGACAGGGATTGTGAGTGGGAATGGTGGTGCGCGAGAGGCCGCTAGCGAAGGATTCGGCATGTCGTCCGCAATTCTCCCAGAGGCCAAGCATTGGGCAATCCTTGTCCGCTCCAACAAGCTTAAGATGTCGGGCGAGAGCCTGATGACAGGGCGACAGGGCTTAGGCAGATGCCACATGCTACCTCCGCGAGAGAGAGCGTTTGGACAGGACGGTCCAGACCTCGAACCGCTGGGCAGATCTCCGACAGGAGACTTCCTTGTCGTCGACGCTGCTGATCCCTTCTTGTCCTGAGTTCAGATCAGTAACGAGACGTTGGCCCGCCGGTCTCCAGCATAGCGGGATATCAAGATGCCTTCGTCTTTCTTCCAGGAAACATTACCAAGCCTCATCGCTATAGTCCGCCGCCGAGCTTCTTCATCTTCGTCAATAACAATTAGTTGAAGCCTAAAGTCGGGCGAAGTAATTTCCCATGCACGGCAAGAGCGGCTTCTAACTAAAGTAATGTCTCTTGGCCTGCCGCAGCGTCTTTCGCGCCGCAGCCTGGCGGCACAGCAGGCACGAAGCTCACCGCAGACAGACACACAACTCACCCAAGCTAACACTGCAAAAGCACGATCCACTCAGCCCATCAAGCATGTTCCCAAAAGACAACCAACGGCGGTTCGCAACGGCCGCACCCCCCTGTCCCTCAGAAGTTGCCATATCGGGCAAGCGCCCACAGCCAACCCTGCAGGAACCGAGGGTTCCCTTCTCTTCCTCTCCTCTGACGGTCAGAGTCTGAGTCTAGGAACCATGGAGGGCATGCGCCACCTGTTCTTGGCTCTCTAAGCCTACTTACCCGGGCGTCCTCACGATGGAGTCAGGCCAGTCGCCATACCGGGGTGTGTATGCTCAGGCGCAATCGCGGCGTACCGTACCCGTGGGGGCCGCCGCGGCAAACGCCAGATAGCCTGTCAGTCTCAAGGCAGAAGCTGTAAGGCATGTAACCCGATCTGGGTGGTCCTCGAGTGAGGGCGGCGGATGTGAGGCAGAACGCACGATACATAATGCCGCATGGTTCGCTGTTCAGTCTCCTTTGTTGGGCCCTTCTCACCCGTTTGCATATTCCGTTTGCCCACGCCGATCAAACGTGCTCTTGACAGCTCAAGCCTTCCTCGCGCCCCCGTTGACCAGACGGCTTACGCCACACCTCGACGATGAAGTTCATCACCTGCCTTGCGGGCCTCTTGGCCGCCGTGACCCAAATACAGGCCGCGGCCGTCATCGCCCACTTTATGGTACTGCCGATCACCACCCTTCCCCGTCTCCGTTTGATGATCACGATCGCCCTAACAATCCCTCGCAGCTCATCAACACCAAGAACTACACCATGAGCGACTTTGAGGATGACTTCAAGCTCGCCAAGGAGGCTCACATCGATGCCTTCGCGCTCAACATGGGCATGACGGACCCGCACACCGCCGAAGCCCTCGACGTCGCCTTCACTGCCGCCGCCAAGGTCGGTTTCCACCTGCTCTTCTCCTTCGACTACATGGGCGGTGAGCACGGCGGTGCGCCGTGGCCCGTGGAGACCATCCTCGAGATGGGAGACACGTACTTCCAGCGCGAGGAGTACCTCAAGTACGGCGGCAAGCCCGTGGCTTCAACATTTGAGGGCACCGAGAACGCCGAGGACTGGATTGAGATCAAGAACAAGACAGGCGCCTTTTTCATCCCTGACTGGTCGTCTGTTTCTCCCGAAGAGGCCCTCGGTCTTGCGGGTGGCATCGCCGATGGTCTGTTCAGCTGGAACGCCTGGCCCATTGGAAGCACCAATATGGACACCAAGGGTGACGCTGCCTATATCTGGGCTCTTCAGGGGAAGCCTTACATGATGCCTGTCTCCCCATGGTTCTACACCAACCTTCCTGGGTACAAGAAGAACTGGGTTTGGCGTGGTGATGATCTCTGGTATGACCGCTGGAAGCAGGTCTTGGACATGCAGCCTGAGTATTAAACCCCCTTTCCAGTGATTTCACGACCACGACACTAACACACAATAGCTTCGTCCAAATCATCTCATGGAACGACTACGGAGAGTCCCACCACATCGGCCCCGTCCGCTCCAACGCTCTCGAGGCCTTCTCCGTCGGCGAGGCCCCCTTCAACTACGCCCTCGACCATCCCCACGATGGCTGGCGCCACTTCCTCCCCTACCTCATCGACACCTACAAGCGTGCCATCCCCGCCTCCATCACCGAGGAGGGCTTCATGGCATGGTACCGCGGCTCGCCCGCCCTCGCCTGCGCCGACGGCGGAACCGTCGGCAACTCCATCACCCAGGCGCAGAAAACCATGGCCGTGTCCCAGGTCGTCCAGGACAGGATCTTCTTCTCCGCCCTTCTCAACTCCACCGCCGAGGTCACCGTCTCCGTCAACGGCAAGACGCAGAAGGGCAACTGGACATCCGTCCCAGACGGCGGCAAGGGTGTCTACCATGGCAGTGTGCCCTTCACCGAGGGAGGCGACGTCGTCGTCACCATGGCCAAGTACGGCATTGAGATTGCCAAGATCGAGGGCAAGAAGATCCTGACGGATTGCCCTGACGGTCTGACTAATTGGAACGCCTGGGTTGGAAGCACCGAGGCGCTGCATGTTGACGATCCCAACCCGACGCCGACGCAGACTGGCGATGGCCCCAAGAGCACTGCCTCCAGTGATGATGACTCTGCTGCCATGTCTCTGAGTCAAAGTCGTGGTCTTGTGTATATGGTTGTAGCCCTTGTGAGCTTGATTGTTGCCGGCGCTGTGTGATTGAAGGATGAACAAAAGATGACGTTTATGAGGACAAAATGAAGTTGTCCAAGGATGACGACGAGAACTAAGAAGATTAGAAGTTTTGGCGGGCGCTTTGCATGATACCCCTGTAAGAGATAGATACCCGGTGGCGAATTGGATTTGAGCGTGGACTTGGGAATGACTTTTGACTCTCAGATATCAAGGACTCGTATGGCAGTTAACAACATATAGTCTCCAGGGAGAGATTGCCTCATCATGTAAAAATTCTTATTTAGACATATAACTTCGATTCTTGGCAATGCCTTGCAACACATTTAAAATCAGGATTAGATGCACTAATCTGACATGATCATCAAATGCCCGACAAGAACGAGATCATCTTTTGAGCAGATGATAATATCGTAGTCTTCGAAGCCTCTTCGGCTCCAACTATCATGAAGCCCCAGTCTTTGGGCATCGCAATTACCTCTTCGTTCACAACTTCTCACTTTCCCGTCTTCTGAATATGTTCACGTCTACAGAGAATGCACCTGCTCCGAAGGCTGGAAAGTATATCAACATTCCACGTAACATATGTCTATACCTCAATGCATGGAAGACACAGACATCTCATCATGGTCGGTTGGCATACGGCCTTCATTACTGAGTATGAGGTTTGTAAATGTTCTAGGGAAGTGCCGTCAATGTTAGTAGGATATTCATGACATAGGATTTTGAATCCTGGCTTTATAGGCGGGCCTGCTGTGTTCTGAGGAAAAGCAAGTTCTGAGCCCTTGAGTACAATATTGTGCCATAAGAATGACTACGTACAGCTCGTGTAAATTCACGAGCTTGGCGCTGTACACTGCAATTTCAGCACCCCCTGAGGCTTTGTTCAGCCTCGGTGAGAGCCGCTCACCGAGACGGGGATCAGCATCCATGCAGCGTAGGATTCAAGGTTCCGGCAATCCAGCTGCCTTTCCGGGACTAGATAAGATGCCGACCTCCACGAAAAGAACATGCGGTCCATGCCTCAAACGGGGCTTGGACGTCATCCGATCTCGCTTCTCTCATCTCATCGTCAAGCTCTAGACCCCTCCTCAACGTCGATCTCTCACTCAATTGATCGTGAAACCATCTTATATCTGCCATTGACCGTAGTGACAAGATGCACTGGCTCACTCCGCTCATCGCAGCGGCGGCCTTCCTCGGGGATCCCGTCGTCAGCGACCCCAAGCCAAAGTACAATCCTCTCCCTCCGCTCCGCGAACAAACCCGGGTGCAAGATGCCTGGACCGAGGAGCGTAAAGCCACGATTCCAGCCTTGCTCAAGAAGCATGGAGTCGATGCCTGGCTGGTATGTCAACGTCTCATCCATCCCCCTCACCAGCCATCTAACGCATCCGCAGATAAGCCAGCGCGAATACGCCGAGGAGACAGTCTTCTGGTCCCTCAAACCAGCAACAACCTTCTCCGCCCGCCGCCGCACCACATGCCTCTTCCTCGCCGAGCCCCTCGCCCTCGCCTCCTCCCTGCCCAAAGAGCCGGGCTGCATCGTAGGCTGGACCACCGATGTCTGGGAGATCCTCAAAGAGCAGCTCGAAGCAGCCAACCCCGCGACCATCGCCATAAACGCGCACCCCGAGATCGCCTTTGCGAGCGGCCTGCACGCGGGCGAGTACCAGGCCATGGCGAACGGCCTCGGCGGGGCTTGGACGAGCAGGATGGTGGTCAAGCCCGAGATCGCGGTCGAGTTCATCGCGGCCCAGCCCTCGTCGAAGCTGCCGCAGTACCGCGAGATCATGGAGACGGCGTGGGCCATGATCGCGACGGCCTTCAGCGCGGAGGTCGTCGTGCCGGGGAAGACGACGACGGGGGACGTGGAGTGGTGGTTGCGGGAGGAGATCCTGGCGCACAACTTCTCGACGTGGTTTCAGCCGAGTGTTAGTGTTGTCGACGAGGCGCTGCCGTGGGCGATGGAGATAGAACGCGGCGTGGGCGAGGGAGCGGGTGGGAGGATTATTGAGTATGGGGATATGTTGCATGTCGATTTCGGGCTGTCTGCGATGGGGTTGAATACCGATACGCAACATCTGGGATACGTGCTGCGGCCGGATGAGACGGATGTCCCAGAATCGCTCAAGGAGGGTTTGAAGAAAGGAAACAGACTTCAGGATATTGTGAGGGAGACCATCACAGTCGGTCAGACGGGAAATGAGATGCTGAAGACGTCTCTCAATCAAATGCATAAGGAGGGAATCCAGGGACGTGTCTACACTCACCCCATTGGAGACTGGGGCCATTCTGCTGGTCCATTAATCGGTAAGTCGCCGCCTCAACTTGACTAGCATTGACTAACCCTCGCCAGGCATGACGAACATGCAGGACTATGTGTCGGCATCCGGCGAGCTGGCTGCAGTCAGGAATATGTGGTTCAGCGTCGAGCTGCTCGTGGAGCACTACGTCCCTGAACGAAACCAGACACTCTGGTTCGCTCTGGAAGAGGACGTCTACTTCGCTGGCGAGGAAAAGGGCTGGCAGTGGGTATACGGGCGGCAGGAGGAGTTCCACCTGGTGAGAACAGCCAAGAAGCAGGAAGCGATTGAAGAATTGTAAACCGAGTCACATAACAAATGGACGTATTTCAAAAGGTCCAATGACCAAAAGGGGAATCTATCATGATTGCTTTTTTAGTGCCCGTATTTACAACGAATTCCGCTCCCATCCCTTTTACGCCTTTCCGTTCTCCTTCTTGACAGGCGGCAACAGGCTCCTCGTCAGCTGTCTCGCGTGCTGCGCCATGAGCGCGTCCATCAGCACAATGGCCGCCATACCCTCGACGATAGGGATAGCGCGGGGCACAACACAGGGGTCGTGACGGCCCTTGGCGGCCAGGACGCCCTCGCTCTCACCGTCGTAGGTCGCCGTCGTCTGGTCCTGGCCAATGGTGGCGGGGGGCTTGAAGGCGATGCGGAAGTAAATGGGCGCGCCGTTCGAGATGCCGCCCTGGATGCCGCCGGAGTAGTTAGTCTTGGTTGTCAGCTTGGAGCGCGGGATGCCCATGCGCTGGCCCTCGGCCTGGATCTCGCTCTCGGGGGTCTTGACGAAGGCGTCGTTGTGCGTGGAGCCGGGGATCTCGCAGCCGCCGAAGCCGGAACCGATCTCGAAGCCCTTGGTGGCGGGGATGCTCATCATGGCGTGGGCCAGCTCGGCCTCGAGCTTGTCGAAGCAGGGCTCGCCGAGGCCGATGGGCGGGTTGCGGATGACGCAGGTGACGGTGCCGCCGATGCTGTCCTCGCGCTTCTTGAAGTCGCTGATGCAGTCAATCATCTTCTCGTTTGTCTCCTCGTGGGGGCAGCGGACGGGGAGGAACTCGTCGACGGTCTTGCGGTCGATGGTGTTGAGGAGGGAGAGGAAGGCGGGGTTCGTGGACGGGGTCGGGTGCTCGGGGGTCGGGGGGAAGAGGTGGACGTTGCCGACGCTGGTGGTAAAGGCGGTGATTGTTGTGCCGTAGGCCTCGCGGAGGTACTTCTCGGCGACGGCGCCGGCGGCGACGCGGGCGATGGTCTCGCGGGCGGAGGAGCGGCCACCACCGGAGCTGGCCTTGACACCGTACTTCTCGAGGTAGGTCCAGTCGGCATGGGACGGGCGGGGGTACATGTCCATGGTGGAGTTGCCGTAGTCTTTGGGACGCTGGTCCTCGTTCTGGACGATCATGCCGAGCGGGGTGCCCAAAGTGACGCCGAACTCGGTGCCGCTCTGGATGACAACGCGGTCCTTCTCGTTTCGCGGGGTGGTGAGGGCGCTCTGGCCGGGGCGGCGGCGGTTCAGCTGGGGCTGAACATCGGACTCGGTGAGGGTCAAGCCGGGCGGCACGCCGTCGACGATGACGCCGACGGACTTGCCGTGGGACTCGCCGTAGCTGTTTGGCGAAAAGGTTTAAGTTAGTCCATTGGCCATTGAAAGGTTTGTATCGGACGCGACGCACGTCGTGACCTTGAAGTAGTTGCCGAACGTCGACATTTTGGAGGTTTGGTGGTGAAGATTGGGAAAATCTGGGCCGATGTTCGGTGAGTCAAGCCAAAAATCCAAAAAGAATTCGAGTCGTCCGATGCGGGGTGGAGGGGTTCGTTTGCTTTATACGCATGGCCCCGGTAATGAGGTGGGGCTTGGCTTTACAGGGATCATATCGTTGATGAGGGAGAAATTCTGATAGATGCAACCCTCAACCTCATCTCAACACTCACTCGTCCTCGTGTTGACGACTCATCACAGATCACGGTAAGTGACTCATTCAACTCCATAATTTCCGTGGAATTCTAATGAATGTTACAGGCTAAAATCCAATTGCTTGTGCCACAAAGACGATCCACCTCGGTCAACCCTCACCGAACGCTCAGCACGCCCCGAAACACAATGTCATTGTCATAAGCATCGGACTCATCCCCTACCACCGTCACCATGTTCGCCGCTCGCCCGGTCTTCAGGACCTTGAGCCACATCAAACACCAACAAAACCTCCGCCCCTTCTCAGCCCTCGCCGCAAACCCCTCCTCAAAAACCCAAGTCTACATCTCCAACTCCCGCTCGCCGTACATCAACCTCTCTATAGAGCACCACCTCCTTCAGACAACACCATCCGACTCCAACGTCCTCTTCCTCTACACCAACCGCCCGAGCATCGTCATAGGACGTAACCAGAACCCGTGGCTCGAAGTCAACCTCCCGCTCCTGCAGTCTCTAGACCGCAGCCGGGATGCCATCGACCTCGTCCGCCGCCGCAGCGGAGGCGGCACCGTCTTCCACGACGAGGGAAACGTGAACTACTCCGTCATCTGCCCTCCCGCCAACTTCGACCGCGACAAACACGCCGAGATGGTGTGCCGTGCGCTTCACAAGCTGGGCGTGCCAGACGTGGCCGTCAACTGTCGACACGACATCGTCATGACCACGCCCTCGGCAACCCCCATCCCCTTGTCGTCTTGCACGGGCAAACCCCTCGCGAACGCAGAAAATACGTACAAGATTTCCGGATCGGCGTACAAACTCACCCGTTTACGCTCCCTCCACCACGGAACCTGTCTCCTTTCCTCCCCGAACTTGCCACGCATCGGCAGCTTTCTCCGCTCGCCGGCGGAGCCGTTCATCAAGGCTCGCGGTGTTGAAAGCGTACGCTCGCGTATTCGCAATGTTGGCGTCGATGATACGAGGAAGTTTGAGGAAGCGGTGGTTGAGGAGTTTGGAAAGATGTACGGTGCGTTCGACGTGGAGGCACGGCTAGGGGAAGAGGCGGGACAAGTTGAAAGCGTGAAAAAGGGGATCAAGGAGCTCGAGGCAAGTTGAATATCATGACAATTCAACATCATGTTGCTTTGATCGCGGCGAAACCCTCAGCTAACGGCATTCACATTGCAGTCGCGAGAATGGATCTACGGTCAGACACCACTTTTCACCTTCTCAACGCATCCATCAGAAGAAGATGACAGGGAACGCCCCGAGCTACCCGGCAAGGTAAGGAATATGCCTCGCCTCTCACAACATCACAGGCGTTGATCACTCTCATGGGGCTAACGAAAGCATTTAGTTCAAACTCTCATTCGAATCTCGCCACGGCCTGATTCAACAGTTCGCCCTAGAAGGGCTCTCGTCTGCTCAGCCCCAGGCTCTCTCCGAGTCCATGATCAACTCCCAGATCTGGGAAATAGACGACTGGACGCGGCGACTGCGTGATGGCGGCCTAGATGCAGGTGATTCTTCAACCGTTGGACCATGGCTGAACTCTCTGCTCGGCAAGAGAAAGGTGTAGGAACAACGGGCTTCGAGGCCTGCTGAGCACCTGGAACTTGCGAGGCGACAAGCCTCACATTACACATGCCGAGATTTAGGCCTGTTCGTTGCCGACCGTACGCGTATCTGCCAACTTAGCTACCTAGTTGACGAGGCGGATGCCCGGAAGATCAGTGATCGGTCAAAGATCCCGAATGCTTGTGAGGGTCGACGGAGATGAAGTTGCTCCAAGTCCAACTCAACAAGAACACAGATACAATTTGCGTCGAGGCTTCATTCAGTATCTCTGATAAAGCTTGCGGAGAAGCCGGGGGCGGTTAGACTGTGTGTCGTGAACTAGGTGGATTTGATAATCCCTGGACATCATCCCATAGACGTGTAAGATCTGGCGATATACCATATAATACAATTCCTAAACATATTAAGCACTCTCGGGTGTTATATTTTGATTCTATTGGGTAGGCTATCCGGGCTCGGACATGTCTCTCAAGTTCGTCGCAGTTCTTCGGTCTCGTTGGCGAACGGCATTCATCACGATATGAGCTCCTCTGTTACTTCATGAGCTACGTTGAAGAGAACCAACGGTCAGCCATTTGAGTTTCGTTATTTCTAAGCACTTCTAGACACGCAGTTCCAGACGACTGCGCTTTTCATCCTCAACTTCGCACGCAAATTCACACATGTGTTTCTCAAACCCCCAACCAACATCGTCATCACAAGCCAACGCCAATATCACAATTCCAAAAAAGAATTCGAATCACCCCGACCATGTGAATCCTCTGTCTCACGGAGAAAGAGGCAAAAGCGTACCCCTAGAGGAAAGAGGAACATCAAGCAACAGGACCCTTCCTGACCACCTTCCCCGTAAGTATCATCACCAGTTCCAATCCGAGACATCACACTCACTCAGCTCAACACTTTCCCAAAGCCACTTCTTTCCCTTCACCCTCCCCCCCTTCCACCGTTCAGCATCCCCAAATCGGGCACATATCTTCATCTGTTTCTAAATGGCACCCCCGATAACCGCCGATTCTACGTTCCAGAGAGACTCTCACATCACGCGCGGGAAGTCGGTGTCACAGCATTGCTCCCATCCCGACATCCAAGACATTTTCTTTCGCTCACTCACCACCTCGAGAGAAACTGCGACAACTAGTCCAGATTTGATAATCCAGACACTACACACCCATCAAAGAATTCCACCTTTCCCAGACACGGGTTACACAAACCCAGCGAAATGCTGGCCGTTAAAAGACAACAGGTCCGAGTATGGTAACAATTCTCCAAGACATACATATCTCCTCCCTGCTTTTCCTCCGCTCCACTGCCGAAGCGATCTCCGGGAACTCACTCACCAACATTCACTCCGAGGTAGCATTCCTCTTCGCACCCACTCACAAAAAACACATCCCATTCTCGCAACTTTCCCATCACGAGAGATGGCGCGGCCCATGATAAGGGAAGAAGTGGAAAGGAAGGTGGACCGGACCGGGTGTGCTGCGTGAAACATCTCCAATCAGGCAGATCGTCTCTCCCCCTCCTGTCTTCGAGCAGCAGACGACGAGCGACGCAAAGAAAGACCATCAGCAAGGAAGAAAGATACCGGTCTGTTTCTGCCTCGCCACAAGCTCCGTCTAATTCTCTATCAAGCCCCAGGCAGCGTGCTACCTAGACAAAACGGTCGGTCACCATACCATGCCACACGCCATTCACATCCCCCCTCCCCCAAAGAACGAACGTTGCACCAAGGAAGGCCGTCGCACCAGTCACTGGTCACCCCCAGCCCGGAAACCAGAACATCAACGTAAACCAGAAAGGCGGAAGAGGAAAAGGAAGAAGAAAAAAGGTGTGGCTGCATACTGCACACCCGTAGCATCACCATCATCATCATCTTCTTCCCTCGTCTCCAACTTCTAAATCCCCTCCGTCGTCATCGGTAGACCATCCATCTCTTAGCTCCCATCCTAGCCTCCCGTGCTACGAGATAGGCGCAATCAAGAGTGACGCGTGCTAGAGGCCCTTATGTGACAGACCGGGAAGCCCAAACCACCGGGTGCGCGTGGGATGACTTACACACGAGAACACAGTGATTAGTTACTGTCCATCATCTCTTCCCGCGCGGATGGATGAGGTGCCTTGCCCTTAACCGAGACATGCCGTCAGGATAACAAGACGAGCACCACAACGTGACGAGGCGCAAAGCCGACAAGCCCGTAAAAGACAGCGTGAGTGAGTGTGGTGCGGCTTTCGTATTACGATATGATATTCATCCCCCATCGTCACACGCATCCATCCCTCTGCTCCTCCCCCGACGCCGTTGTCGCCTTCTTGAACAGACACTCCCTACCCCTCACAGGATTTCTCCAGCACCAGGAAGAAACCGAAGATCACCATTCACTAGCTAGCGAACATGCAGGGATGTGATCGTCCATCCATCCCCCGCCCAAAAGTCGTTCTTAGGAGAGGATTGGCAGCCAGACACAGCCCCAAGCACCCCGCCCCCAAAATTTGGGATGACGTGCAGCAGCACAGAACACCTATTGTCCAGTCCAGACCCCAACCACCAAACCAACAACACCAACACCAACACCAACACCAAGCGGCGCGCTGTGCTTGTGCTGACGACCCAGCAAGTTTCCGTCCGGGGTTTGCCCACTAAAAACCCCCTCCACGAGCCGAAGCTTCCCACCTCACAGCTTCTTAACCAGATTTCCCCGCGGAACTGTTACTTAATAGCAAGCACGCTAAGAAAAGAGACACATCACTTTCACATAGGCCAAGGAGCAGAGCAAGTCATGCAAACTCGTTGGTCAGACCCAAGCAAACCAACACCCAGCTGCGCCGCAACCACGCATCGCCGGGGCTTTTTCGTTCACCTTGGATCTCACGGTCAGCAATGAACGTCACCCCCGGCCCGCCCAGGCAGGCGCGTGTCACACCGGGATCCCCGCCGGCGCCCTCACCTTTTCCCCTTCTAGTCGCCGCTCGCTTCCCCATCACACACATCCTTTTTTCTTTTCTTTTGCGAGCTCATCCGTGATAGATGACCAACTCGTTCTGCTCGACCAATCCCCTCTCAAAACCCCGAGACATTGGAGAGCCGAGAGAGGGGCGGGTTGCGTCGGGTGTTTTGAGCCCAGAGTGAGAAATGCGGAGGAGGCGGGATAGCTCCATGGTTACACACACCACCAGCGTTGTGTATGCTCGCTCCGTCTCCCGGTGTGTCAGACCAATCAGCCCCTCGAAAAAAGCTGAGATGTGATAGTGGCGGCTACATCGAATAGTGAGCCATAGCCATGCTTGGGAACAGGAAGAGAAGGCCCGGCGTAAAACCGCAAACACATGCAGCCGTTCACGAAGGGAGGCAGACGCCCGGCCAAATCGGTGCGATTCCTCGCCCGCTTCGGAGCAAACCAGCTCCTGCCCTGCCCCCCTCGGCGAGCGAATAATCTCGGCCGCCCCTCCCCTTTCCCCCTCCTCCGCATTTCTCGAGCCCCCTTTCGTCTCCATAATACCCCGGATGAATGCGTATCTCTTTTTTTGCTTTTTCCGAGGGCGCGCATCTCGACCGGGCCGGGGGGTTGCTTGCTTGCTGAGAGACAGTCAACGTCGGCGTCGTCAACGGGGGTTTACCTGCGCAAGAAATCACATCGCGAGTCAAGCCATGCTCTAGCTGAGCGACCTGAGCAGTCATCCGCCAGCGATCAGCTCGCCGTGGCATGGAATAGCGAGCCTTTCTTTTTTTTTCCCGCTCTGCAGCTTACAGTCTGGGGAAAAGCGGGAGGGCTGAACAGTACGTGTTTGATGTGCAGGACATGGTGTGTGCGTGTACTGGGGGGTTATCCAGACAATGCTGTGCAAGGAGCAATGATGCCATGATGAGTAAAGATGTTCATCTTCCCCATGCTTTAGGGCAGCCGGTTTCACGGCTGCTTCCAACCAAGGTCCAACGGCTTTCCCGCCTCCCCCAGACGTCTGATATTCTTGACACTTTGCTAGGCGCAGATCCGTGGGAAAGTAAAGAGAGTGTGTGGTGTACAGGCAACGTTCAAGGTCGGAGGAGGAGGGGTGAAAAAACACCAAGAGGCGCGCAAGCCGCAAACCCCGCCACCCCGGATAGAACCATGGGGGCTACCGGACGGGCGCGAACGTCGACGCCAACGGCTCGCGAGGGTAGTAGCCAACAGAGACATTTCGTAAACGTGATGAGCACATGTCAGACCAGTTAGGGGAAGGAAAAAAAAAAAAAAACAGTGACGGGGGACAAAAGCAAAAGGGGATAGGGGGCGGAATTAAGTGCAACGCCATACAAGAAACGTAAATGCCAGCCGGTGTTCGCTGAAACGACGGAGGTCGAGACTGAAGCTGCGATGTGAGCAGTCACATTCCGGAGACCCTGCAAAGAGAGTGTGTCCGTGAGGGAGCGCAAAAAGCTGGGGTAAGGTGTCAGCAGGGGTGCGATCGACCCGACGACCACCAGATGAAGGGAGAGAGTTCCTTTCGGGGCTCGCATTGCGTTTCCACACGTGTGCCCAATTCTAATCGCGCAAGCTTGAAATCAGCTGTAGTTTGGGGTTGATTTTCAAGTTTGAAGTTGAGGCCTAGAAGAGAAAGGAGCGTCGCCTCCGGAGACTAGAGAGCGAGGTTTATCTTTGAGAAGAAGCAGAGAGTTCGGGTCGATCGACATGCGCCGCTCAACGGTGAACCATGCTTGCCATGCTTCAAGAACCCAGTGCCGGAGTTTTGCGTAGACGGGATTGAACGGATGAGGTTTTCTATTTGCGTCGCGCGAAAACATAGCACAACAAAACTGGAAAAGGTAAATTTGTCGTTCGAGCTTGCTCTAGTTCCCGTTGCCTTGCAGACAGGATGATGCATGGTGCTCGTCTATTGCGTCGTCCCAGTCGCTGGGTGCGCTCTTTTCTGTTGTGCGGCCATAGACCGGCGTCGCTTGGAGCGGGATACTCAAGAGGCGACGTTGGTGCGTGGGCAGACAAGTTGAGCCACGACTCAGTCGCG